GGGATGGCTCAAGACAACCAACCACTCCTTTGGCCATATCCTTGCATTATTTTGACTTTGGTGGAGGATAGATATTTCCCCTTCCATTTTGAACCATACGCATAAGTCAAGGGAGAGAGGAGCTCAAGGGAAAAAGCTCTCACAAGGTTCAAGCTTGAAGGGGGAAGAAGAAATAAATCCAGGAGGGAGAAGCTAAGGTTGAGGTAAGAACCAGACAAATATTCTTTAACTAGTTTCTTGTGTACGATTTCTAAGAAAATCATATGATGGATTAAATCATGAGTTCTACACGTTTAAAAGTGTAGAATATTGATATATAGTGGTGGTAATTAACTTAGAAGAGTTGGTGAATCGATAGGAGTCGAAATCGCCGGAAACCGCCACTTAAAACGAGCTGCTCGAAACTGCAGAAGATGAACACCGGGCGACTTTCACAAAATCCTGGCGGCTTTGGTTGTTGTCCAGATTTTTCGTTTCAATCGGCCTAGAACAGGGATTGATCGAAGGGCTTAACAAAGACAACTATTGTAGCACATCATAAGGTGAGGATGACTGACTATATTGCTTATAATTGTTGGGTTAATTTCATAAGATTACCTAAAGTATTAAATGTGATTTTCATGGATTATTAATGATTAATAATGCCTAAATGAAAATACTATTGCATATGAGTAAATGAAGCATGATATACAAATTTAGAGAAATTTGTGTATGATTATGTGTTATGAATATGATGGCATGATAGTAGGAATTTACTATCAAAATTTGTGATAAAATATACTTTTACTTCATGTAAGGAATTCATGAATGGATAAAAGGGATATTTTTTATATTGAGATTAAATTATATTTAGATTCGAAAGTCATTGGAAATGGATCATTGGACTATGAATTAGGAACTTGGTTATTCTAAGATTATCCGACTAGTATTGAAATACTAGTCGGGAGATTGATATGAATAATAATGGAATTAATCCTAAGGGATTGGAATATGAATAGTGATGTCTTAAGTAGTCTTAAGAGATTCTTTAAGGATGAATTTTATGAGCTCTAAGGTATGTTAGGGGTAAGCCTTAAAGGTTACTCTAAGTGAATGGATTCTAAGCATATGATTTGTTTGAGAATCGGACTAAAATGATGAATTAGAGGCGGACTCTAGGATTACATGGAAACATAGTTGGGCCGATCCCTTGCCACGTAATTGTGAAGTACATGGAAACGTAGTTGGACCGAGCCTTTGCCATGCATTAGCGAATATCATGGAAACGTAGTTGGGCCGAGCCCTTGCCATGGAATTGTAAGATTGCATAGAAATGTAGTTGGGCTGAGCCCTTGCTATGCAATAGTGATGGGTTGAACTTTGGCTAGCGGATATCGTAGAAATGTAGTTGGGCGAACCCTTGCTATGAAATCGTGGCATGATGAACTATATGAGTTGTCGTGACTTGGGTGTCACGGGGAATAGATATGGCGAGTTCTAAATGAATATGGGCCTACGGGCCGAATACTTGACTTTATATTCAGTGTAATTGTATTCAGTGTAATTGTCATTCTACTTTTCAAATGCTTCAAAGTACTGACCTCCCCTTCACGGGGAGGCCACCTCACAGTTTCAGGTAGAACTTGAAGGTTGCTACCGCCGCCCGTTGCTTCGGGAAGATCGAGAAGGGAATACTTGGTTCGTGCTTTCTCCGTTTCTGTTTTAAAAACAATTATATAAATGCTCATGGATATTATTTTTCTGAATAATTATTTAGGGGCTTGTATGCCTAAGTTAGCCAAGTGTGGCTTGAACACTTGTAATATTATTTCTGCTGCTTTAATGAATATTTTACATTATGTTTGTTTGTGGATGTACTACATGTGAATGATATTCCAGACGCCTTGTATAGTATGGAGTGTTGGACTGTTGTTGACTATTCATATTGTACGGCGGGTTATTGACGTGTTCGGGTAGGTCCGGGGCGTGACACTGTTCTGGTTTTTAAGTTTTCTAGAGTGTAAGGAAATGACTCACAGAGGAGGGTCAAGTTCTTGGCAGAACTGACCTGCAACAGATAGGTCTTCTGGTCAGGTAGCCTCTCAAACACACTAAGGTAGTTGCCTTTTTGTTAACTTTGAAGGCAAGAATTGTTGAACACAAAGTCCAAGCCTTTTGAGATAATTTGTTAGAAACTAGTGCAAGAATTAAAAGCAGTAAGTAAATGACACCAGGGATTTTTATAGTGGTTCAAGGAACAACTCGTTCCTCTAGTCCACTGTTCTACTAATCTTGTAAAAGATCAAGTTACAATGCCCAGTACTAGCACTTAAGAAGCACTCCTCGTCTTCTTCAAGTCTAGTTGTCACTCGAGATGCTCTTCCTAGCTTCCTGATGACTGGTCTCGTTTCACTGAGTTTCTTTGAAGTATCCCCACTTCACTACTCCTGTTACTTTGAGACATCTTTCTTAAACAAGAAGATTGATTGAATAACAAAAGGTTTTCTTCAACGTTCTTCGTATACGATGTGTAGATGAAGCTTTTGAAGTGTTGAAGCACCGGAGGAACTTTTCTTTCAAGTTGGATAGTAAGATATGGAAGTATGATCTTATCCAACGTCAATCTTTTCTTGTTGAGTGTGAGGAAGATGAAGTCTCAAGAATGTTTGCTTGATTTGAATTTGTTTTTGAGAGTTAAAAGTTATATCAAAAGTTCTTCTTTTTAGTCCTTCATTGTGTATCATATATACTGAGAGATGCCTTCTCGTTGGAATGTAGAAAACATCTTCATTAAATGCTTGTACTGTTGATTTGACCAGTTGGTTCCAAAAGTAGACGACTTGCTATTTTGGGGCGTGTAAAGTATTATTCGCCTGGATCATTGGTCAATCATCAGCTTTAAATATCTCAGCGTGTGGAGCTCATTAAATGAGCATTAAATGCGCGTACTGTAGCTCCTCCGTTGAGAGCCTCCTAGTCGTTATGGAATTTCCCGCTAGTTAACCAGCTTAGGTAGCATAGACTTAATTCGTCTAAGTGTGATCAGCTCTGGGAGGTCTTCTATATGTGACAAAGTCCATGAGGTGCATGAGCAGTTCTGTCCAGTAGGTGAGCCAGAAGACCTAGGGTCTTCTGGTCCATCGAATACTCTAGTGCTTACACTTTGAAAAAAAAATAATACAAAATTCTAATAAGGGATACTTTAATATCCTAATCAGTCTAGCATCATCAAAATCTAAATACAATTTATTCCTTACACTACCGTGACCACCAAAGGACTTTTAAAGTCTTCAAAAGAAATACCAACATTAGATCTCCCGCCACCAAAATTATTGGGATTTCTCCCGAGGTCCCGCCATCAAAAATTAAGAGGAGCCTGACTAAATCCGCGGTATATAGCCATAGCTACCCACACCTCTTGCTTCTCTCGAGATGTCAATAATTATTACGAAAACATTATTCATTTTGAAAAATCGTTTATCTCTAAAGTCATCTGAATTAAGAAATGGCAAACAAGTCTCAGATCCGTTTAAAACCAGGATCTTTTGAGACCGTGCCCATCCCTAATTGGAACCAATAGAGATCGAAAGGTTCATTTTCGGTGTTTCTAAAAAATAGAAATATATAGTTGCATAATCAACAATTTTGGGAGGTATTACAAAGCTTCTTGCCTTGACATGGTCCGAACAAGAGTCATTCTTGGTGTATACTAAAGGTGCACACATTCTATACACATGTACGTAGACATAGATGATTGCTAATATTTTCTAAATGAGTTGACCGTGTACACAATCAACTAGGGTTTGCATACATGTTCGTACATCTAGTTTTTTTCTCTAAACAAAGCTTCTCTATCCTAGGGTGAAGAAACTCTTTTATCTTTATTGATTTCGACTTCTTCTATAGGAGAAATGATACCAATATTACCTCTAGCCTTTTGAAATAGAAAAAATGACTAGTTCTTCTTTCCCCCTCAAAAATACGGAGTATGACTAATTTTGTGTTACTAAATCCATTTTTTTCTCATTGTGCCCTACAGTACTACCCTACAGGCCCACACATGTCCAAATGCCGCACGAAACCATCACTGGAAAATTTTCATGATTTTGTTTTTTTTTTCATTTTTTCCATTTTTTAAATTTAGTGAAAAAATTATCAATTTTTTAGAGAAAAATAATAAAAACACCACAAACTTTGAAGGGGTGTGAGATAAACTCTTCAAATTTGCACATGCAATTTAAATATCCCAAACTTTATACAAAAAGTTATTTTCACACCATTGTCATATATTATTTCTTTCAAAAGTATAAATTTATGGGATTAATTGAATAATTTAAAATATTTTAGAATTCATGATGACATGATTTGAATTATAAACTATCATTGCGAAATAATTAATGTTACCCCCAATCTACATAATTGCAACACTTTTAATTTTCTATTTTAAATTATGCAATTAAACCCATAAATTTACATTTTTAAAAAAATCATGACAGTATTTAAATTACATATGCAAGTTTAGGATGTTCATTTCACACCCCTTAAAAGTTTGGGGTATTTTAATTATTTTTCCCAATTTTTTACCGCGTTCACATTGACATATTTCCCAATGGCAGTGGCATTACAAGTGATGTAAAAATTGACACCAAACAGTCAAGGATGAGTTAAAGAATGTGAGTTAAAGGTCAAGTTATCTTCATAGAATCAAAAAGTGACTATTTTGAGATGACCCGTTAAAGATTGACTTTTAGAATTAATTTTGCCTAATTTTTATGAAAGACATTATTTGCTAACATCCATTTGGCTTATTCTAATACTCCTTCCGGTTCCAAAACATCTTGACACTTTGACTTCACAGTTTTTAAGGAAATAAACACTGTTTGGCACTGTTTGACACTGTTTTGTGTAGATTTATTTGCCAAATAAGGCACATAAGGAAGTGTAAAGATCTTTCTGGTACTGCTAAAAACGGAAAGTGTAAAGATCTTTCAGAACCGGAGAATCTTTCGGGAATTTGCTGGGGCAACGAATTGATTATTTGAGAGAAACGCTACAGTAATTTTTTTAAGCTAAAAAGCAAAAGAAGCCACGTAAAGCTAACAAACAGACATTTGATTTCAATCATTAACCCTCATCTGGAAAGGTTGGGTGCGCCGGTGCGGCTTATCACCACACAAGAACAGCAGTAACAAAATTTGGTAGCCAAAAGGCGTGTTAAAAGTTAAAACACTTCTCCTTTTATATTTCCATAGGAAGAAAACTCTACAACAACACAGAAGTTAGAATGTATGCTAAAGAAAAAACAAGTTTTAAACATTTCCCACCAACACCATAAGAAATGAAATTCAAGAGCAGTGCCACACTAAATCATCCATGGCTGCAGAATCATCCTCCAAATAAAGAAGACAAAAGAAGAAACAGCTCTTAGGAAACAGATGATATAGTGTCTACCCTGTGTGAAAATCTCATCAATCATGGCCAAGGTGGTGTCCTATGCTCCTATATAGCGATGAATAAACTGCACTCCTCAAGCTCGTTTGGCTTCTCAAAACCATCACTGTTATTGGTTTTCTCCATGTCCTCATCAATCAGAATTTCCATGGACCGGCAAGCAGAACTACAAAACGCTTTATCACCTCTGCATAACATTTAAAATCCAAACACACTTAGGGGGTGTTTGGATCTGATTCATAAAACTTATTCTGCTCCTCCAGGGAGGAGAAACATAAGTTGGAGTGTTTGGGTGAAAGTGCAGAGGTACTTCTGATGCTATAATTTACTCCTAGAATCAGTTTTTTAGAAGCTGGGGGAGACCAGCTTCTGAAAACTGATTTTGATTCTGCTTCAAAAAAGAAGCAGAAGCAGAATCAGTTCCAAAGACCCCCTAGATTTATTATTACATTCTGGGGTGGGTCTAGGAAGAAAAATCATCCCTATTAATGGACAAATGGTTTTTGATACCACACTTTGGTGGTCGAGGCGGGACCCATGTTGGGCACACCTTGCTACGCTAGAGATTATGTATATTCACAGTAAACAAAGATAGAAACAGCACATTGTGCGTAGCAGACCTGTAAATGTATATGTCTTTTCCATCCAAATCTTTCTTGCAAGTATAGCAGAAGCTCAAGAAGTGCTGCTCTTCACAGGAGGCAGGACCCTTTGACAACAACCCCATTATTTCATCTTCATCACCGCACCTTGAAAAATGGGCAAATTCATAGTTGTGACAATCTAAAATGCAGTCACAAAAAATGTGGGTCACTTTAGGATTTGGGCCGTGGGTCCTCACGCATGTATAATCCTCTGAGAGCTCAATCTCACTCGTAATACATCCACTCGGCTCTGGTATTAAGTCCATCTTTGGCCCAGACGGGTTGCCTAAACTACGATTCCGGGTTGCAATGCCAGAAAAATTTGAGAGAGAAATACTCGAATCTAGGGAGCAAGAACCGAACAGAACCAAAGAATCAGCTTTATGGAGATTTAACAGCTTAGCCTCATTAGGCAGTGACTTAGGACCATCAATAGAGTCAAAGCAGTTCTTGCTACTCATTTGTGGCCCAAAAATTACATTTATACCCCGGTTCTCTATAGGAAGAATCCCTGGGCACTCAGTTTTGTGATCAAGAGAATCAATAATGCCTATTAGGCCAACTTTATTACAACCCCAGCTCTTGTGAGTACCCTCGTAAGATCTTTGGGACCTAAGTGGACTACCCACAGTGGAAGAAAAGACCTGAAATTCAAGTGGAGAAGTCGGACTTCTAGCTGAATCTGATTCTGAGTGTTTGGCATTGAGTCCAACAAGGAGTGCCGGAACATTGAAAAAGGAAGTGGCTTTGTGTTTCTGAGATAAGAGACCGGAGCTTAAATAAGATTCGGGTAGAGGATCAGGCATGGGGTTACCCATCTGTTGATCTTTCAGTGATCTGCTCCTCTTCCTCAACATTTTATCCAGAAACCTCAAACCGCCCTACACAAATAAAAGAAAAACAAATTAAAAGGAACAACAGTTTCTGTCAGTGTGAACATAAGCAAAGCATGTCTTTAGCCTGTGAAGAGTTACTAAAATTGAAATTGGAGCAACGAACTAGAATTCAATTGATGGCAAGAAAATCTAGGCAAGCAGCTTATATTGATTTTTTCAAAGATAAATTAACAAATCCAGAGTGGAAATCTATCCATAGATCAATAGAAAGATTTTTTATTACATTTTAAGATGAAAGATATTGTTAAGAAGAAAATGATCAAGTCAGAAGTAAAGAAAGCGAGTCATAACAGGTGTACTACAGTCAACAAGTAGGAGAATTTAAGAGCATATTATAATTCAAGCACGTTTATTCGTCAACACGTTCACATTCAGTGAAAAGCAAAACCAAAATTTAAAGACCCAATCCAAATGCTCATTGATCAATCAATACTCTGAAGAAGCCACATCCACATTTTCGTAATTACAGGTCCGTCACACCCAAAATCAACAAAAAAAGCTTCTAGTAAGTAAAAACATGAACAGACTAATCCGGCCAATGATAGATCTAATCAGAAACAAAGAACAGTGTTAGGGGGCATAAAGACTTGATTGATCAATGAAAGAATGCAAAAACAATGGACAATGCACAATCTAGTATTCCTAAATTTTGGAGTAAGAGTAGTATTTTAAAAAAATTGTTCCAAAAAAAACCTTGAAGCTCACCTGGCTTTCCCACCTCTAAAAGCTTCAGAGAGAAGAAAGATGTCTGAGTAAGAAACCCAAGTGCAGTGCAAGGATGAAGAACGATTACAGAGAGAGAGAGAGAGCGAGAGAAAGCTCTCACAATTTATGTGTGCGATTGTCTTTACGTACAGTAGTATATATGGGTGTGACTGGCTTCTTCAGTAAACGTTTCTCTCTCCTCTCACTCTCTCACCCCCTCCCGAAATCAGAGTGTAGCTTATCGGGTACACTTACTTCGAGTTTTGAAATCGATCAGTATACTGTATACTGTGTAGTGTGTACACTTTTAAGGCATATAATATAGGTCATACACTTGGCTAACTCCAACTCGCCTCGGTTAAATCAAATTTACTACGAGTAGTATTTCATACGCATTCAGTCAGTTAATCGGTTTTTTTCTACAAGGCCAGCGCCATTAATATATACATTCACCACATTTTTTTATAAATAAATATATAAATCCTTACTTTTATTATAACACATCAATTATATGACACTTTTTATTAGAAATAATTGTGATTTAAAAAGTCAAACATTTTGATGTAAAAAAATAATTTTTCCCGTAGGTATTAAAATATGCACACTTTGAGCTTAATTTCAAATAAATTGTAGTTTTCAATCAAAATATGTACAATTCCCTCCGTCCCCCTATTACTGGGACGGAAGGGAGTGGTGTGATTTTTAAGAAAAATATAATTATGTGGTTGATAATGAGTTGATAAAGTGAGAATAAAGTAAGAATGAATTAGAGCCACACGAATGTTACCAAATATGGTATGTGGCAATAATAGGGGGACATCGAAAAATGAAAAAATGAGACAATTATAGAGGGCATAAGGAGTACTATATCATATTATAACTTGTACTTGTTGAATATAAAAATGTCACCATCATAATAGCTGAATGACCAAAAGTGTCATTTTTATGAAAGTTGAAAGACTAAATATGGAAATTTTCAAAGACGGGTATAAAAAATGGAAAAATCAAAATCGAGTACCAAAAGTGTCAATGACATAATAGTCGAGAACTAAAAGTGTAAAAAACTCATTACGATAATGTAAAGGAGAAACAAATCCTAATACGTAACAATAAATGGAAAGACCACAAACATTAGTGGCATTATTGAAGTAAAAGTGCACGAAAACAATAAACAACAAATAAAGAACCAAATACATGTCATTCAAAGAACCAAATACATGTCATTCTCGTGATGTGCCCACAAATGATTAATGAGGTAATTTTTTAGAGCGGTGTGCACCGAAGAGCTCCTAATGCGATTATGTCGCATCATGTAGTAGTCATTTAAAGTGGGGGCATCGTGATTAAGATCAAATTCAATATGTGGACCAATATAGTCATAACCCGCACTATAATCTTGAGTACCTAGATCATCATCGGTTTCTTCATACTCGTCTTCCACAATCATGTTGTGTAGGATAATACATGTGAGCATGATATCACCTAAAGTCTGTGTCTGGTACGATCGGTGGCCCCTCTTACAATAGCTCATCTCGTTTGTAAAATGCCAAATGCTCTTTTGACATCTTTGCGATAGGCCTCTTGCTTAGCAGCAAAGAGTCGTTTCTTAGGGGTGTCCGGATGGCTAATTGTTTTAACAAAAGTAGCCCATGTGGGATATATCTCGTCGGCTAAGTAATAACATTGATTGTACAAGTTATTGTTCACCGTATACTGGACTTGAGGAGCAAATTCATTCACAATTGCATCAAACACGAGAGAGCTTGCAAGTGTGTTAAGGTCATTGTTAGAACTAGTTGTACCAAAAACGCATGCCATATCCATGTATCATATGAAGCAACAACCTCAAGCACAATAGTTGGTTTGTGCTTGTACCCAGTAAACTGACCTGCCCATGTCGTTGGACAATTTCTCCACTCCCAATGCATACATTCGATGGAACCAAATCATACCCGAAAACCCCCTCTTGGATGCCTTCTCTAGTAGACGGTGAAGATCATTGGGATTGGGTAATCTTAGGTACCAAGAACCCTAAATCCCGATAATTGCCTTACAAAATATTTTCAGACGCGACAAAATTGTGCTCTCCCCCAAACAACATAGTTCATCTACTGAATCAGCTGAGCAACCATTTGCAAGCATGAATATTGCACTTGTTAATTTTTGTTGAGGGGAAAGAGACATGGTTGAATGCATCTGTCTTCGGTGCAAAGAAAGAATCAAAATGCACTAAATCGTTCATGATGCGGTCAAACAAACCAGGTAGCATTCGAAAACGCCTATGGAATATACGAGCGTTATAAGTTGGGTTGGGGTTCCAGTAATCAGAGTTTTTGCCACTTTTGGTCCCCCAACTATTGTGTCAATGACACTTTTGGTACTCGATTTTTAATTTTTCCATTTTTAGTCCTCGACTATTGTGCGAGAGACACTTTTAGTCCCCGACTTTCAATTTTCCCACATATAGTCCTTTGAGTATTATCAAATTGACAATTTTAGTCCTTCTACTATGATTTTGACACAATAAATGAAGGACTAAAAATGTCATTATTGCAATAGTTGAAGGACCAAAAGTGTCACTTTTACAAAAGTCAAAGGACTAAATACGAAAACTTTTAAAGTCGGGTACCAAAAGTGTCTCTCGCACTATAGTCGAGTTCTAAAAATGAAAAAATTAAAAGTCAAGTACCAAAAGTGTCACTGATAGAATAGTCGATGGAGGGACTGTATCTTCCTCTTACCCTCGCCATCAGAAAAGGTCTTATAGGACTCAAGATCAGAATCATAATTAAGCTCTTTATTCATGATCTCAAGTAAGAAATCATCTTGAATCCTATTGGACAATTGATTTTTTGTGTTCTCCAAGCCAGGGATTTGCAACTGTAATAATGCCTGTAATTCTGAATCTTGAGCAGGGTTATAATTACCTTCCTACGGAGCAGAACTATCCTTATGAGCAGGTACAAAATTAAGTGTCTCATCATAGGCCACCTCTGTATCACTATCCAAATCAGCCCCCTGGAATTGGATGGAATGCAAATCAGCTCCTTTGCCTTGCTTTTATCTTTGCCAGCACTAACAGTCATACTTTGTAAAGCATTATTCAATGCTTGTTGCTCCTTATCTGTATTGTTTGTTGCTTTGGGTTTAGGGACCCACTTGTCGGTTGTAATAGCTTTAGTATGTTCCTTACCAACTGTCATATTACTGTTAACATTGGTCACATTAGCAATAGTCCCCCCTTGGGGACGTTTAGGACACGACACCTCAGAGTGTCCAAGATGTAGGCATTTACCACAATACATTGGCCGATTTTCATAACCCACCACCTGGGAAAATCCAGTGGAACCACACTGGATCCAAATTCTCTTTGGCATCTCCTTAGATAGATCAACTTCTGTAAAGACTCGAGCAACCGATGGCTTAGTAAGTGATGTTGTAGCGGCATCTAACTTCAAAGGCCGTCCTACCAATCCCACAATGTCAAATAGGAACAATAGGAGACTCCACATTCGGCCTGAAATCAGGAGTCCATTTCGTAACACGCATCACATTCCCAAAGATGTCCCATGTCTGACGATTCCAACAACGAATGAAATCGTCCTCCAAATCGAATCGTATTAAGATATGCTTCCTCTCCAAAATACCCATTGGAAGCACCCCTTGAAACCGATAAGGTCAATTGATTTCCTAATAGACGCCATAGGAGGTCTACCATTGAAGAAGTAACCAACCAGAGCCCTCCTGTGCTTCTCCACTAAAATTTTGATCTCCTCCTCCGGGAAGGTTATAGATGGCATCCCTTTGAAACGAGAGGCCACCTTGGCAGAAAGGGATGTAGGTTCCGAGGAACCCCTAAGAACAGACGCAAATGATCTATCTCCCCACGCCTTAGCAACCGGTGGGGGGAGTCGCCGCCCCATCCACGGTGATTGTCGTCGTCATCCAAGATATAACCCTAGTTCGCCAGAATCGCCTATCTCACGGCCCTGAAAATTTCACAGTCGTCAGGTAACATTTACAAGATATATTATACTATATTCCGTGAGGATAGCCTTCCCTTTGTAGTTGTCCTTCTTCTTTTGTAGGACTAATGCTAGGAAGTTAATGTCAAAGCATTGAGAGACATCTTCTGTGCCTACCCATCTTAGGACTTCCTCCTTTTCTTGCTCATATTAGTCAAAGAACTGGATGATCTTTGAAAGAGGCCCCATTCTCCATTGTCTCCATGCTAGCACGCTTTCATACTGTTTGTCCAGAGCAGCTCTGAATTCAAACTTAGGATCTCGGTCTGGTGTAGCTTGGTGTTCTGGAGAGGGCACCATCAAGTTTTGTTCAGGTGAGGTAGTAGAAGGGGGGTTCTCTGGTTCCCCCTGAGTAGTGGCATCCTGTGTAACACCGCCTCCAAGTATTTGTACTTTATCAAATCATGTATTGAACCCTGAGAAATTAATAAACGCATTTTACGTGATTGTAAATTTATATCATTTATTTTACGTGAATAGTAAAATTCACGTGGGGCCCACACTGGAAGTGGGGGCCGCCCGATATTATCGGGACCACATATTATATTCATATGGGCCTAGATAATATTTACATGATGGTGGATATCCTAATTGGGTCGTGGCAAAGGCATAGAGTTGACCGGTTGGTCAAACGAGGACAAGTTATCAGCATCGGCAATTTATCAGATAACAACCCGAAAAGGAATCTCGGAGACATCTAAATTAAAGATGGGAAAAGTATATTCATCATAAGGTCCAATAAGGATTGAGAACATGTGTTGTATTTTATTTGACCCGATAAAATAAAATATAATTAAAACAGTCCGAGAAATACAACTTTCGGGGCCGATTGTACACTTCGGGACAAGAAGGGATGACCTCCCACATGAGTGGGGGACAACCCACGAAAATACCTCTTCAATGTGAGATGGGAGTCGTGGGAAATGGGTGTGAGGTGTGAGGGAGTTGATTTGAGATGATTGGCATCAAAACAAAACATGTGGGGGGCTCCTTCCCATCACTCATTGCTCAAATGAGCCAAAAAAGGTATTCCTACCCATCCCCCTCTCACTAGCTCGACCAAGACCAAGGAAAAGAAAAAATGAAGCTCTGCAACTCCATTCTCCCATAGCCAAATTCGAGCTAAGCCCAAGGAGGTCAAAGTTAGAAATTTAAAGAAGAAGGAGGAAGGGAAAAGTGTGGTGGTTAAGGTAATGACCTTATTTTAACTCTTCCTCTACTCTTTAACTACCATATGACTTATATGTTATATGGAGAAC